GTGTATTGATCGGCCCAAAGGAAAATTAATACTTGGTCGAACTGCATACACACTTGTGATGGTAAACATGTAACAATTATAAGGAATTATATGTGAGTAATAAATCGATCCAAAGATAGATTTATTATTTGACATGCATTATTGTTAATGTTTGATCATTACAACAAGATTACCACTTGCAGTTAATATTACTGTCCAAAGACTTGATATTAATGTTGCATTAGGTGTCTTGAGATGGGATTTACCATTATTTGAATTTATTGACATTGTTGGTATTATTTTTTTCTTATGAACATGTTATTTATGTAATCATTTTATTCATTTTTCAGTTGTTGCTACTGTATCTGCTAACCTCAATAATCCTTATGGGTGGCAACTTTAAGGATTGGAAAGAGAACATTCACATTATTCTTGGCTACATGGATTTAGACCTTGCGTTAAGAATGGAAAAACCCGCTCCTCTTACGGATGCTAGTTCCTTCGAGGATAGGAGGATCTATGAGAAGTGGGATCGTTCTAATCGCTTGAGTCTTATGATCATCAAGCGCGACATACCTCTTACGGATGCTAGTTCCTCCGAGGATAGGAGGATCTATGAGAAGTGAGATCGTTCTAATCACTTGAGTCTTATGATCATCAAGCACGGTATACCTGAAGCTTTTAGAGGTGCGGTGTCTAGTGAGATCATTGATGCTGCAAGGTTCCTTGCTGAAATAGAGAAACGCTTTGCAAAAAGCGATAAGGCTGAAACTGGTATTCTTTTAAAGAAACTGATTTCAATGAGGTTCAGTGGCAAGGAAAGTATAAGAGAGTACATCGTTGAGATGTCTAACATTGCTTCAAAGCTGAAGTTGCTAAAGCTCGAGTTGCCGGATGATTTACTCGTGCATTTAGTTCTTATTTCTCTTCCTCCACAGTTTGGCCAATTCCTGGTCAGCTATAATATGCAAAAAGAGAAATGGATTCTTAATGAGTTTATTTCACATTGTGTGCAAGAGGAAGAAAGGTTGAAGCATGGAAAGACTGATAGTGCTCATTTGGTAAACACCTCTAAAGAAAGGGGCATTAAAAGAAAGAATGAGGCTGCTAAGAATAAGGGTCCTTCTAAAAAAACAAAATAAAGTTTAATCTCAAAATCCTGAAAGTGGAGGTTGTTTCTTTCGCAATAAGGAAGGACATCAAAAGAAGGAATGTCCAAAATATCACACTTGGCGTGCGAAGAAAGGTACATTTCTAACTTTGGTCTATTCTGAGGTAAATTTAGCTTCAGTACCAAGAAACACTTGGTGGTTAGACTCTGGTGCTACTACTAATATAAGTGTTTCAATGCAGGGTTGCCTGAGCTACTGAAAACCAAATGATGTTGAAAGATGCATTTATGTAGGAGATGGAAAATCGATAGAAGTGGAAGCAATTGGGCATTTCAGATTGTTATTAAGTGGGCATTTCAGGTTGTTATTAAGTACTGGTTACTATTTGGATTTGATAGATAATTTTTTTGTACCATCATTTAGAAGGAATTTGGTTTCTGTTTCTTGTTTGGACAAATTGAGTTATTGTTGTTCATTTCAAAATAGTTGTTTCAGTTTATCTATTAATTCTAATATTATTGGAACTGGTTCGCTTATGGTTTGTGGCAATCTTTATTTGCTTGATACTGTTGCTTCTTATCACGAAACTCTGAATGTGGAATCACGTGGTACTAAGCGTAAAATTGAAAATGAAAGTTCAGGAACATTATGACACAAGCGTTTAGGTCACATCTCTAGAAATAGAGTTGAAAGGCTTGTATCAGATGGAATTCTAAGTTCCATTGATTTTACAGACTTTAATGTTTGTATTGACTGCATTAAGGGAAAACAGACCAAAACAAAGAAATTAGACGCATATAGAGCTACAGGCGTCTTAGAATTGATACATACAGATATTTGTGGGTCGTTTTCTATATCTTATTGGAATTGTCAACAATACTTTGTATCATTCATAGATGATTATTCAAGATATGCATACGTATTTCTTATTCATGAGAAGTCCCAAGTATTGGACGTGTTCAAATCTTATAAGGCTAAAGTTGAAAACCAACTAAGCAAAACAATAAAACAAGTCAAATCTAATCGTGGTGGTGAATACTATGGCATATATGACAGTTTAGGTGAACAACGTCCGGGACCATTTGCCAGATTCCTAGAGGAGTGTGGAATTGTCCCTCAATACACAATGCCGGGGACACCTAGCATCAATGGTGTAGCTGAAAGACGAAATCACACTCTTAAAGACATGATAAGAAGCATGATCAGTCATTCAACCTTACCAGAATCACTCTAGGGAGAAGCGCTTAAGACAGCGGCCTACATTTTAAATAGAGTACCAACTAAAGCAGCTGCAAAAACACCTTACGAGCTTTGGACAGGACGGAAACCTAGTTTAAAGCATTTTCATGTTTGGGGTTGCCCAGCTGAGGCAAGGCCTTACAAGCCACATGAGAAAAAAGTTAGACCCTAAAACAGTGAGCAACTATTTTGTTGGTTATTCGGAGCGATCTAGGGGTTACAAGTTTTATGATCCCAAATTAAAGATAATATTTGAGATGGGAACTACAATGTTCTTTGAGGATATTGAA